TTTATTAGCAGGCCCGCACGTGCGCGTGCATGTGCACATCTGAGACAAATGGAGAGAGTCTGGAGGCTAGGCTCAGGTTTACACGTGTGTGATCAGACTAAGCAGGGCTTAAAAGGGCCAGCAGCGTGATGGAGAGGAGAAAAGGAGGGAGGTGAAGCAGTGGGGTTATATTGTCCTGGAGGAGGTTTAGGGGGGGGGGAGGGTTGGGGTCGGACGGGAGACAGCAGGGATCCTCCTCGCCCCTTGGGAGTTGAACCTACAACCCCCTAACCTTCCTCTAGCCCTCTGGTCATGGACTTGAACCATGTAACCCTCTGATGGACAATCTGTTCTTCTCCCTAGTCTCGCTGCAGCAATGTGCATGCCATTAACGGATAAATAGGCTGTCTGTGTGTGTGTGTGTGTGTGTGTGTGTGTGTGTGTGTGCGCGTGCGTGTGCGTGCGTGCGTGCGTGCGTGCGTGCGTGCGTGTGTGCGTGCGTGTGTGCGTGCGTGTATACTTAAGGACACTTCCATGTATGAGTCAAGTGTTTGGTCAGTTGGCTTTGACGTTGGGTCTTGCCCCCTTTTTATTTAATGCTTGTCAAACAGAAGAGGTGAAAAAGGAAGCCTGAAGCGCGGTGATTTGTTATTTTGATTCTTGACTCTGCTTTGTTGAGATTTCTGTTTTGCAAGCCGGAGTGAGAGGTGATTTTTTTTATTGTATTTTGCACTCATTGAAATAGATAAATAGAGCATTATGTGTGATCCACAAGGGCTCTTTCTGTCTCCCGTGGATCCCAGCTCTCCTAGTGTCTCTCTAACGAGGACAGTAGCGGAGAGGTTTATGCACGCCTGGACCCGACTCATTCTTCACCTGTCAACAAAATCATTCACACCTCGGGAAAAAAATGGAGACACAGTGGAGAGGAGGACAGGACGGGGGGGCAGTTACTGAGAGGGGAAAGGCTATGAGGAAGTAAAGGAGGTGGCTGATGTATTCCTCTTGGCAATTGTATTTTCTCTTTCCTTTATTTTTCTATTTCTTCCATTGTTTGTGTTTGTGGGCTCTTATCAGATCCCGGCTCCATTCAGGGCCTCTGTCAGGGGAAGAAGCCAGACGCCTCCGTCTCTCTTTCATTCAATCTCTCTGACTCTCTTGCTTTCTGGTGCTCTTCCTCTCCTAACCTTTGAGAATAAGAGCCATGAATTTGAATTTCAGAGCGAGCTAGCAAGCAAGAGAAGGGTTTGCAAGGAGGAGGAGGCGGATGGGCAGGAAAAGAGGGGAGGCTTGGGCAGCTCGAGGGGGGGGGCAGGTTGTTTGCGCCACGGTCGTTGAGAAAGGGCCTGCTCAGCGCGTCCCCCGGCCTCCCCCCTTTGAGGGGCCCCGATCGATACAAACTCGGAGCAATAAAGCTTTCCCCCTGTCATCTCTGCAGAATACAAAGCAGAATAGAGAGAGGGAGAGAGAAAGAGAGGGAGAGAGAGAAAAAGAGAGGGAGAGAGAGAGGTGAAAAGCTGTTCCGCTAGCCAGACCAATTTCCTAACCCCCCTCCTCCTCCTCGCTCGCTTCACCACCACCTCCCCAACACACCATCACCATCACCACCACCTCTATCAACCCCTTTTCTTACCACCGTCTTTTTATCTATTGCTCTTTCACCTTCTTTTTCCCAAATGCACAATATATCCCCCCGACTGTATAGCTGAACAGCTATCTCTCCATAATAAATACAGCATGAATAAAGTATACAATAGATTCCCTGCTTCCCCAACTATCTGGGAGAAAGGTAGAAAGAGGCAGATGAGGGAGGAAAAGTGGCAAGAACTGTGGCTTGATGGGGGAGAAAGTAAAACAGTCAGGGAGCAGGACGGACGGAAAACAGGAAGGAAGAATAGTTATATCTGGGGATAAAGTGTGTGAGTGTGTGCAGAGGGGGGAGAATAGGGATAAGGTAGAGAAAAAGGAGAGAGGGAAAGGGGGGAGAGGGATTGCACTCAGAGAAAGATGGATGTAGCGATACAGGTACAGAGGAGGCGGAGGAATATTGATGAGGAGGAGGAGGAGGGTAGAGGAAGAGGTAAAATGTGTGGGGATGGGTGAGGGAGTGAGCGAGAGAGAGAGAGAGAGAGAGAGAGGTGAGGGGGTCAAACAGCAATCCCTTGAATTGAGAGCCAATTACTGTAATTGTAATCTGGATTCAAAGCATAGAGACACAGCAGTGACAAGCTCATGCAGGCAAACGCACACATGCACGCACAAAACAGACAAAAGAGAGAATGTGTGTGTGTATATGTCTCTACATGCTGTGTTGATTGTTCTGTGAAACTGCAGATGTGCATGCATTGTGTGTGTGTGGTGTGAGTGTATATATATATATATATATATATATATATGTGTGTGTGTGTGTGTGTGAGTCCCTGTCTCCATTCTTCTTCACTGAATGGCAGTGCAGGAGTCAGCCTGCCAATCAACTATTGTACTCTTGTCAATTTAATAATATTTCTGAGCGTTGACCTGCACAGCGCTACAGCCATGGCTCTATATTTTTGTGTGTGTGTGTTTTCCTATATAATTCTCTGTCTCTCTCCCTCTTTCACCTCAGTCTAACCCTCACCACTCCCTCCCCCTCTATCTCCCTCCCCCGGTCCCTGTCTCTCATTCTCTCCTTTATTAGAAGAAGATAGTGCGAATCCTTCATCTCTCCTCCACTAATTCTCTCCGTTATTGTCCCTCCGCTCGGCCCTCTGTGTCTTTGCACTCCTTCGCTTGTGTCCTCCTTTCTTTCCTTGCCGTGATTTATATTGCTCGCTTTTTCTTTGGGTTTTTTTCTGTTTTGCTCCGGCCGTCCTTTCCTGTTATACTTTAGCTTTTCTCTCATTCTTTTTTCTATCTCTGTTGCCCCACACAGATGTCACATCCCTTTCTTTCCTGTTCTCTTTTCCCTCTCGGACCTCCTCCCTCCATCAACATACCTCAACTTCCCCGCTCTCACACTCTTCTCCCTTCTAACCCGCTGATGTCCCTTTTCCAGGCCAGCTCATATTCAACATTGTCCCTTTTTGCTTTTTCATCATCATAGGCTCATTTTGTCAACTCTATGTCCCCCTCTCATTCCTCAACCTCCCACCCTCCGTCCATCCTTCCTTCCTTCCTTCCTCATCCCTCTCTCTCTCCCTCCACCCTGTTCGTTCCCTGGGGAGGTCAGTAATAATGGTAGTGATGGAGTGAGAGAGGGAGGTGCGATTATTGTCTTGTCGGGAGTCAGAGGAATCGATCGGCCCAGAAATATGAGGCGCGAGAAAGAGCCGCTGTGTCAGATACAATAACCACCCGCTCCCGGGGGCTTACACACATACATACACACACATTTAGACACACACATAGACACACACATTTAGACACACACACACAGACATACAGACACATACCCGTATTAGACACGAACACACACATTTATTTGGTTCGACGCAAGACACTGACACGCCCGCACACTCGTACCATCTTTCTTTTTCATTAACGCAATGCACACACATCCTTCTTCTTCTGTGGTGGATGAGAGTGGCGAGGCAGCCCAATCATCTACATGCTTTGATCTGAGATAAAGCAGAGAAGTAGATCTGTTCTGATCATTCTTCATGCACAGATAAAGGGCAAGGCGAGGAAAATCGCTCACACACCTTTCACTCACGTAGCTATAAACAGACATAAACACACGCATACACGCGCACGCCACACACACACGCTCACACTGAGACCTTTCACTGCTGTTGCCTGGCAACGTGGCCGAGTGTCCAATCCGAGGCGAGAACAGTGGCCGGTGATGTCACAGCTGCTGCTGACCAGCAGGTCTGAGAGAGAGAGAGAAAGAGAGGCGGAGGAGGAGAAGAGAAAGTTTGAATTGGAGAAAGAAAAGGGGGGAGGTCGCAAGAAAAGAGTGGGATGATGATGATGAGAGGGTTTGAAGGAAAGGAGGCAAAGCAGTTGAAGAACAAGCCGAGGTGAAAGAGGGGTAGGTCGAAGGAGCACACATAGACGAATGGTTGCCATAACTAAACACCCATTTTTTTGTATTTTAATTGGGGGAATATCAAGGCCTATTCTGCACAACAGCGTGCTTTGTCAGTGTAAGTGAACAGCTTGGTGTAAAGTGGCCTAAATGCTCCTTGAGCCGGCGATGAAGGCCACAAGTCCCGCTCTTGTGGTGAGACAGGCAAAAGATTTGAGCATCAACCTTGGTAGCGCCGTGGGAGAGAGCGGTGTCTGTCTAGACAAGCCCGGCTCCCTATGGGCTGCGGAGATGATACAGAGAGGAGGGGAATGGTGTGAGAGAAGGATTGAGGGGCCGGAGGAAAAGGAACGATTGAGAGGTATTAGGACAGGAGAGGAATAGGTGTTGTAAAGGTGTAGGCGGTGTGTATGTGTGTGTGAGATGGCGCATGTCCCATGGTAGCCAACAGTGTGAGTGTGTTTTAGCCCCTGCTGCTTCTCATACAAAACCTCAACCTCTGTAGTCTCCACACTGCTAGACCTACTGTTTATAATCCTGCAACTCCTCATGGGGCTGCACATACACCTACACCAGACTAGATTTTAAATCTCTCACCTTGTAGAATGGAGTCTTGCGGTCGGACTGTGAATAGGACTTGGTGGGTCCATCACTGAGCCGGGCTCTGTCCCCTCTTCAAGAAGAGGAATATGATGGATTATATGAATTAGAGCCAGTGTGTGCACCAGGCCTGAGGCTGCAGTAGATATAGGAGGACCGAGCCGTAGAGGGATACTGAACTGGTTTGGAGACCTCTCAATTGTCCCTGCAATGACCCATTATACACACACAGCATCCTCACCCCCAGCTAACATCCTCTCTACGATCTTTTGATTTCTGTCTCTCCATCCCTCACCTTCATTCCCATCACTCTCTCTTCTCCTTCATCTCCTTCCTTTCTTTTTCTTTACTATTCCTCTATTTCCCCCCTCTCAGTAACCCCCAACCCTCCCTACCTGCCTCTCCCTCTCCCTCTCTGACAGTGGAGTGATTGATGGCGCTCTAGAGGCCTCAGCTTCCCCCCATCCTCCTCCCTGGGGTCCCACTATCAGATTGTGTGTGTGTGTGCGTATGTATGTGTGGGTGTATTTATTATCTTAGGAACGTAACTTCTTGCGGTGACCAAAACACACTCTGCGGTAACATAACTCATATTCCCTGAAAGAAATCATCAAAATAAATACTCATTTATAATTACATATTTATGTATTTACTATATTTTCCAAGTTAACAGTATCACAATTTCTTATGGGGAAGTGTTAATATGTCGTCTTCGATTGAGACCATTTGCAGTCACCCCAATATCATCTAAGTGGAGTGTTGCTAGGTCTGGTCTCCATGGTAACCAAGGCTCAGACCTCCTTGGGGCAGGAAGGCCCCCCATGGCCATGAACACACACACACACACACACACACACACATACACACACAGAGCACACTTACATTCACCAGCCACCTATTAGAGCCACTCAAACAAAAATGCACATACACACACACAGAGCACGCATGTACAAAAACACACCCTCTGTTAGGTGGGTAGATTGGAGTTTGAACAAAGGTCACGGCCAATGCTAGGCTGCCCAGACGACCTCTGACCCAGAGAAACGCCCCCTCCCCAACATGCAGTCTGTCACAGTCGTTGGACAGGCCTGGCAGTCTGCCCGTTCACGTCCTAATGAAGGCCCCAAACATTCTCACAGAAACAAGGGGTCCAAACAGATTAGTGAAACTGAAGATTAGTCTCAGGGCCTTAAGTCTGCTTGGTGTCCAACCTGCATCTTAAGATGAATGGACTGGGGGGGGGGCACAATCACTGCTCTGACTGTAACTGACCATTTTCATTAATCTGCCGATTATTTTCTAGATTAATCAATAAATCATTTGTCTAAAAGCGTCAAATTCCTTGTTTTATCCGATCATCGGCCAAATAAAAGCAGCAAATCCTCAAATTTCAGAAGTTAGGCCAATTTAGGCCAATAGGCGGTTCGTTTTCTGTTGGTTGACCGATCATTAATCGAATAAGCGTCTCAGCTGTAAATCCAGCTATTTACCCAAAGACATTGTGCTTCTGTGAGTTTTTTTAAGAAGGCAATGTACCCAAGTGTACTATGATATTGTCTGCATAGTACATATAAACGTATCCCAGAACACCAGTATTTGTCTGTATTTTAGGACAGATGTAAAAAGATGTCTCTGTATATCAGAGAGCACCTCCAGCGCCATATGCACTTGTGAGTGTCTATCCAGCAGTACATTGGGCGGTTGTAAATCACCACATAAAGTATTTATAAGGTTAAACTTGGGAACTCTGCTGCCGTTAGCTTTTGAATTAGTGAACTCGGACCAAGGGACAAGGAAGGGGAGGGAGGGGGGTGATCAGTGGTCTGCCTTGTCCCCTCTGTAGATGGAGTTTATTTCTTCATCAGGATTAGAGAATCAAGAGTGCCACCTTGTGGTTGGTTCGTCCTGCTGCCAGAGCAGCACTTTTGGCTCTCTCAGATTTAAAAATCTAGGCAATATTTCTGCTGAAACATGCTCGTCTGCTTCCTTGATCTCATTCTCTGATGACAGATTTTCACTAATTTCGCATCTTCTTGGTCGGTTAATCCTTGTGGGCGGCACTTCTGGTGGCTCATATCTAGTTAATCTGCAATGTTCCACTTTCATGTCACATCTATTCGTCACATGAACAGATTTTGCGGCGTGACTTTTTTTTTTGCGGCGTGGCGTGCATCACTGTGTGCAGCCTATACAGTGTGGGTTGGTCAGTGGTACAGTGAGTGTTGTGACAGAGTTTTTCCTTCCGCTCGGGGTTAGAGTGGAGCTGTGGCTGGCAAACTTAGCCGAGGATGTCTCACATCTTCTCTTGTTGGTGTCGACCTCCCTCGACAGACCACCTTACCTCCCACTGATGTGCTCGCTCGCAACAACCCCACAGTCTCACACGAACGACCAAGTAGAGATGGTCATGACTCATGGTGGACAAAACAGACTACGAGAGCTTGTTAGAACAGCTTGGAGTTGAGGAAAAACTGCTCAGTTTGACTTATCGTTAAGGTTTTGAAGCAACACTGGGTCACATATCGTGCATACATATCATACACTCTTCGGTCACAATGTCAAGCCTGCTGTTTTTCTCTTGCGTGTGTGTGTGAGTGGCTGTTTCCAGCCGCGCCATCACTTTCCGTCGGCACCCGTCATCCCCCTCTTTTTCACCTCATCTATCTCTTCGATCTCCTCGCTCACTCACTCTCCCACTCTCTAACCTCTTTCGTGTCCCCCTTTCTTTCTCTTTTTTCTTTTGTCTTGTGTTTTTCTCTCTTCTGTGCCGAGTTCCTACTCTTTTGAGGCTTACTTCCTGTTGTGTTGCAGGATGTGGGGAGGAGGTGGGGCTTGGGGGGTGTGGACTAGAGAGAGAGAGAGAGAGTAATTCTCTCAACCATATAATTTAATACACTCCTCCTTTTGGTTTGAGAGAGAGGGGTAGAGTGAGAGTTTTTCTTTACGTAGCGTGCACACACGCTCTCACACAGACACAGATATGACCAAGACAGCAGCAATAGCAGCAAAGGACTTCTTCAATATGTGGTTGCCAGGTGAGTGACTGTCTGTGCAGCCTTCTCTCTCTGATGGCCTTCATTTACCAAGACCAATTAAGCTTTGCGTGAGTGAGAAGGCACTGTGTGTGTGTTTGTGTGTGTGTGTGTGTTTGTGTGAGGCAGAAAGAAAACTGTGTCTATGCTGTTGATTAATGCCACTGGGTCTAACAAGTTCTGCTAATTAGAGAACATCAAAGAGCAAGAGGTGGTAGAGAGATGGATGGATGGATGGAGATGGATGGATGGATGGATGGAGAGATGGATGGATGGATGGACGGGCGCCTGTCGCAGGCACAGGGAAAGGTCAGACACCTCGCCAGTCCATAGCATGCCTCTGTGTGTGTTAGAATGTGTTTATACTATGAATGGGGAAAACAAAATTAAAAATAATACAGCAGGAAAATACAGTGAAAAAGTTTTTCAAAATGTCTAATGAAAGGTAAACCAGGGTTGGAGCCGGTGTTTGGGAATATTGGGATTATTTTTCATTTGTCAAACATTTTTTCTCTTTATTGTCTCTGCAGCAGCGTTGCATTTGTTTTTAGGTTATAGATTTGTAGCAACCTCGGCACCGGTGTTAACTTTCTGTGTGTGTGTGTGTGTGTGTGCGTGTGTGTGTGTGTGTGTGTGTGTGTGTGTGTGTGTGTGTGTGT